CATCTAGTCATTTAATACTCAGCCACCTCTCAATTTTAGCTGAGTGACTATATTTCCAGGTCACAATTTCAGGTTGCTGAGTTACTGTAACCAATATCTGGCAGTAAAAGGATATGTTGCAGGAAATTTCCAGAAAGAACAGTGAAGGCTGCTTAAAGAGAATTGGGTAGGATTTTCATTTCTGCAATGCAGGTTGGATGCCAGTGCAGTGACTGGACCTACGGATACTATCTTAGATCAAACCAAGGGGGTGAACTTAGAGCTAAAATTCTGAACTAAGAGAGGTCAAACAGAAAGATAGGAAGCAGTTTTCTAAAGGCACTCACTGCCTGTCGCACTACCACAGAAGCTCTAGAGTTTGAACTGAGCTTCTCTTACACAAAAGAAAAAGTAAACTTTATGATGCTTAAGATATCTTTTTTTTTCCATTTCTGTTTAGTGCAGCTGAATCAATAGAGACCAATTCCATAGCTCCAAGATATTTCTACAAAACATACGCCATTTGTAGTTTTCTGAAGGGAAAGAAAGGGAAGCTATGATTTGACTCAATGAATCTTTTAAAACATATTAATGAGCTGTTCTACTCTTCAAATACAGAGATAAGATGTTACGCTACTCTTTTTTTTCACCATCCGCGGATGTATATGTGTTTTTGAAAAAGACTTTGTATATAGAGATTACCCAGAGGTATCTTGCAGCATAAGTAAGTTGTACTGTGGGAGGCTCTGGTCATGGTCACGCTACATCGTATAAAATCCACTTGGCACAGAAAAGGAAGATAAAACTAGCTACTTAGACAAAAGATTTACTGGTGGTGACACACATCCCACTTACATTCCATTTGCCAAACTATTTATGTGGCCATGATTAACTTCAAGGCATAGAGCGATACAGTTTTCCTCAAGATAGGGAAGGCCCTGGGATAAGGCCGGGACAGAATAGTGCTCCATGACAGAAACTTGCATGTTCCCATTGTTTTCACCAGGCTGGTAACCAAGTGGTTAAATAAATCTGGCAGACACAGGCTCCATAAATTCCTTGGCCCTTTGTTTTTATTACTATTTTTCCCCAGGCTGTGCATTCCTGAGCTATCTTTTTATAGCTTATCAAGTTGGCCGTTGTAAAAGAAAGGAAAAAAAGGTGTGTAACAGACTCTGAGACCAGACCCATTTAAACTGGATCTACAGGCCTGTAGCCTTTATCATAGCTCCATTTTGGAGAGGCCACAAGGTGAGCCCACCAAAGTGGGGTTGATTGGTGCTTATAACTAGCACCAATAAATGGGCCACACTTGGAAAGACTAAAGGACCGTGTCTTTTTAAATCATTAAGTTTGATTCATTTGTTCTCAAAATCTCAGCCTGAAAACCTACAGAGGCCCCTAGCCCTCTATAGCATCTCAGAGGATCTCTCATTCCCGGAGATGTCACCAGGAGCCTCTTCCTTACTCTTTCACGAGTCAATAAACACTGACTTCCTGCCTGCCCTCAACAATGTCCGCAGAGTCCTCTTTGCGATTTTGACCAGAGGGCATCAAAAGCCCTTTTCTGAACTTAGGCCTGGAAGCAGACCCCTTAGAACTTAGACCCATTTGAAACTGACTTTTGCAAATTTTATGGGACAGGGAGCATGATTCATTCTTCAAATAATTATAATTTTGATTCAGAAAAATTGTTGAAAAGAGTATTTACTATTTTTACATTGCAGTAGCATCTTGATTGCAGAGAACTGTGTATGTGTGGACATCTTTCTAGACTCTGCTCCTCTTAGTGTTCAACTACCGCCTTAAACTGCTTGTCATTTGCCAGATTCAGTGGTTGAACATAACCTATTTGTAGATTAAAATCTTTGTATTTAGTGGCAGTATAATTTTTAAGGAAGGACTCCAGAATACGAAGATTTTGATGAGTTTTTGCATTTTCCTTACAGTTCACAAAATTTGGTTAAGGTGAGCCTAGGGCTAATGGTACTGGCAGCGACAAAAAGAAGTCAGGTGGGTGAAGGAGGAAAGAAACTTGGCAGCTTTGAGTAATAACTTAGAGAAATAATGGATTGAAGCCCTTCCAAAAGATGTATTTACCAGAGGAGTGCTTTAATGTCACTTATATTGGTAGATTAAAAATACTTCAAAAGAAACGGCCTTGACTCATTGGTTTCCTCACTTTGGGACTATGACATTGTTAGGGAATCATGGATGACGGATGGCTAACAGGTCTTCAAATGGCTACTCTTGGTGCCGCTCAGTTACATCCGCTTTGACTAAGATGTTGGTCTGTTTCACCCCAGAGCCGTTAACCAATAGGTCTCAACCTGCTTAGCAGCTGCTTGAGCATAAGGTGGGACCTGAGTATCACCCTGATTCAAGGACGGGATTGACAGTCCAGTGTCATTTGTCCAATTGCCTGTGTGTGCCAGGCACTATGTTAGATGTCACTTTTCCATGCTGTTCAAGATAGAACATTCCTTGTGTCTTTATCAAATCAATAAAATGACAGAACATTAAGTGATTTAAATTTAAAAACAAGTCTACTTAACTTAAATTTCTGGACTCTGTGATGGCATAAAAATTCTTGGCATCAAAATTGTAATATTAAATTTTGATCTGTTCTCTATCTGTTGCACATTTATTTAAAAATATCATATTGCAGAAACAGTTTGTTCTTCTGAAAGAGATCTTGAAAGTAGTTTTGATTTTTTTTCCTGTGACACTAACAAGACTTTTATCTAAATTGGTTTGCCTGCACTAGTTCATAATATTGGTGAATGTTTACTATCATCATTTTAATTGAGGAAAGGATCTGTGTTGTGCCTTTCAATTTTCAAGTTCTTATTTCTATAACAAATATGCCTGAATGCTAAGGTGAACTTTAATCAAAATTATCAAGCTCATAGCTCTGTTACATAGGGAAATCTTTATAATTGCAACACAGCTGAAACTGATAAAGGCTACAAAGCTTTCATCAAATTAAAAACATATTAGGAAATTCAACTGTTACAGAAGAATCAGCCTTTAGATTATCCTGCTAAGTAATTAATATTTTCCTTTGTTGTTTGTTTCAATTTTAATATTTTGCTTAAAGCTTTATCTCAAATTGAAAGTAATTTCACTTTTAAGTTATTAAATCATTATTATTTCATTGGTATAAAGTAATTAATACTATAGAGATGTATAATTAAGAATTATAGGACCCAGGGCCCTCCCTGGTGGTACAAAGAGTTAAAGCATAGCACTCTAAAGCAATTGGCAGCCACTAAGCAGGAGTTCAATTCCCAGCTAGGGAGGTGACCCACATGGCACAGCAGACCTCTCTTGACCTGCCCGCTGCTCCTCTCAGCAGTGCATTACTGCTAATCTGCCTGTTCTGCTCCCACTCTGTCTCTGGTGAATCCATTCACCCCCACCCTCGCACCTCTGGTCTGTACCCCAGTTCTTGTATGCATAAATAAATACATCTTAAAAAAAAAAAAAAGAATTATAGGACCCAAAAGGTCCCTCTAGTTTATTTCCAGAGAAATAATCATTACTAATTGGTATGTTGGACCCAATATCCAGGTTATGTATTTCTACTAGTTAAATCTTTCAACTCAATATGTGAGATATTGTATTAAAATTCTTTGTTAGTTTCTCCCATCTTATATAACCTCTTTAATTAACACACCACATATAAGCTCAACTTATCAGAGGACTTATGCAGATGTATTTCAAAGTAAAATTTAAAAAAATCAATTGTATCTCATTGAGGTAGTGTTACTTTACAACACCATATGATTTTGAAGGATAAGTTCACACCTCATCAGATTTATGTTACAAGGCCACATCTTCTATCAAAACATTCATAATTAACTTCTTAATGGACATAGTGATCCTATAAAAATAATAGCCTTTGAGTTTATTTAGTCACATGTCCTATAAAGATTTACTCAGCGTACTAGTGCCCATTATGGCCTCAAATAGTCTCAGTTGCTATTATTGTCCTCTTTCCTGCCTCCTCTTGAGCGCACACATATGGAAGCACAGAAGCAGCAGATTTGCTGTACTTACTCTTCATGTTCTTTCCCGTCACTGCACATGCCATTTGTTTTTTGATTCTATCGTCCCACACCATCTTACAACTCTTACTTGTACTTCTTATTGGAAATTTTCCCTATCTCTACCAATTTTGTGATACATACAGTTGTAGGCAACCTACTTATTAACTTAGCTCAGTATGTTATAACTGGAACAAATATATGTCTCCAACATTGTAAATCTGACCCTGTAAATGCTCAATATTAGTTGATGAATAGACAGACCAATAGACAGATGATGGTACAATGATGAGCTGAATGAACAGATAGATGAAAAAATAAATGCATAACTTGGTGAATGTAAGATAGACAGCATGGAACTCTCTGAGACAAAGGAATCCCATCCACTCTGAAGTAAGTGCCAAGGCCTTGCTCCTCAAATAAAAGCCAACATGTAGACATTTTGTGTTCACTAAATGCTTAATATCAGAGTTAATATTCATGCTGATTTCATGTCTGGAGAATTCATTGAGATGAACTGCTTATACTTGTATCTAATTATCACTCAAGAAAAAAATGATTATATGCATCATTAAATATGCATCAGTCTAACTATTTTGTACATTTATTAGGAAAAAACATGATGTGGATGCAATGTTTATAACTTCTAATACGCTATCACTATATATTGTACTGTATTATACTATATTCATTATAATCACATACCATAGCATTATTATATATAAATATTATATATATTCTAATGGGGCTCTTGGGTTTCCACAGTTAATTATTTTTGTCAATGCAGAAACCTCAGCATATCAGCATTTACCACACTCACATCATTACTAAGTTCATGGTAGTGTTGAATCTGTTCTCAAATACCTAGAGAAACAGAATTTTCTAGTAACATTTCCTGTACATAAGGCAAACAATGAAAAGTAAGCATGAAGAATTTAAGAGCATGACCAAAACACTCTGCTGCTGACATACCTCTGATGTACCAGGTGTGGTCAAGCGCGGGAGATACATGCATATCAGATGCGGTCCTTCCGTTGCAGGTGCTCACAGTCCCAAGGAGAATGTAGGCACAGGAAGCTGCTTTACCTCCCTACCAGCGAACAGATGTGCTAAAAATAAAATAATAAGGAAAGAACTCCAATTACAACACTGATAAGGATTTTGAGAGAGTTAATACTGATCTATCCCACGGGGGTAACTTTGCATTCTAGGATTGTGGAATTTCAGCACCTGGAATTCATCGTATGTCTTTAAGCCCTAGCCTCTCATTTTAAGATACGGAAAATGAAGCCCAGGTACATTTAATCACTTGAGGCCTTGAGGAAGTCACTTAACCTCTGTAAGTTTCAGCTCATGCTGATGTTTTTCCTATAGGCAGGAACAGAAGGAGAAGGCATAAACTTGCATATGCCATAAAGCTAAATCATAATTCAGGCCTCAGGAGGCTATTAGTGATAGGTAGTGTTATTTCAATATGATTCAGTTCTTCTCTAACACTATAGTTTAAATAGAAAAATGTTAATTTGATATAATTTTTTTTCATTTAAAAATATGAAATCAATATTTAGAGCAAGCCAGAATGTTATACCCACTGAGATATGATAGCTCACCACATTTTTTTTCTTGAGAGTTATTTCCTTTGACCTGATTTTTAATACTGGATTTACATAAACAGAATATTTTAATTTATTCTTCTGAGTCATAGATATTTACTTGCTGAAATTATAAGAAATATTAATGACTCAGAGAAAAAATATTTTTAAAATAGGTATTTGAATACTTGAAAGACTGACTCAGCAGTATAGTTTCATGGCAAAAATTTTCTCTTTGTGTTTTCCCTATCTGAGAAATCCATCAGTCACTTTATAGGAAATTTTTCATTCTGATATTGTAATGAAATTTTGGTATAAGAAACAAAATATGGAGTATACATAATGTTCACCAGGAACTAAACAGTGATATTAATTTCCTGTTACAGAACTAATTTTTATTTTCTATGACCCACTTTTAGCTGATGATTTTCCATTTCTCAAAATTAATATAAATGTTACAAGTCAGTATTTGACAGTGGTGGTCAAGTCAACTAATGCATTAATAAAGGCAAACAAATTATTTTCTAAGTCTCACAAACAAAGAGGAAACTATGCTAAGTTAATTGTCTTTAACATTATTAATATATCATGTATATTTTAGGTTCACTTTACTTTGTATATAATAACAACAAAAATAGAATTGTTTCATTAGTATAGTTTGTTAAATGTGCACATTTACGTATTCTTGGTAGTCAATTCCTTAATTTCTGTCTTGCTAATAGTACAGTTGAAACCAGATAAATACTTGCTAACTTACAAAGGACATAGTTGTGTAGTTTTAAAAAGTACAGCTAGTATAGGAAAGGAAAATACTTTTATAATTTTCTACATAAACATTTTACCTTATTTAGATAATATTGGTTTATGGCATTCTATATGATTTAATGGTATGAAATCATACCATTCAGTGGTATGTTATCACATTACTTCACCATCAAGGTCTTACACCTCCACCATAAACAACTGGTGGAGGATGTTATCATACCACACCACACAAAGTATGTTATCATATCATACCCTTTACAGTCCCCTTCCCACCTTGCTCTCCCTCTTTTCCTCCTCCCTTCTCCCCCCTCCCCCAGTAGACTCATTTTTTTTTTTTTTTAAAGATTTT